GTCCACTCGACATAAACTTGGCTCTTCAGCTACAGGAATCCCATCCCGGGTTCTGTCTCTTGGCCACACTGGAATGTGCTGGAACCTTGGGAGGCATTTTACATAGATGGGCATGGGAGTGGCCTTAGAGGTGGCAACTTCCACACCTCTGGAAGCAAATGCCAGGAGGCAAGAGGAAGTGATAGACCTTGCTCAGAACCAGCCCAGGCTCTTTTACTGCCTGGGCCTTTCAGAGAGAAGATGGCGCCATCCCTTCCTTCCATGGACAGAAGTTGGCCAAACTGGTGGCTGAGCCTTCTTCCATCACTGGTGGTCTCCGTGTCACCTGAGGCCAGCAGGCTAGTGTGGCAGGGCAAAGGGTATTCTGTAAGGCATACACAGCTCTGTCCTCCCAGAACACCCCAGGGCATCTGCTACTGAGGCAGCTGCTGTGCTTTGCCCATGAGTAGAGCTGGCCCCGTTTCCCTGTTTTATTGAGTGAAAGCCACTCCTCACTCACTGAGCGTCTGATAGCAAATAATTAAAAAGGCCCTCATCCTCTCATCTATTTTGCTTGGGATTTAGTGTGATGTTCACAGAGCCACAGGGAAGGGTTTTTTACCGCTTTGCTGCTTCCCACCAAGCAAAACAAGCCAATCTCTTTTCCTTGTCCCAGTTCCAAACTCCAGAACATCACCACAGGGGCCACGACTGCTGTTCCACGATTCTTATCAGGGCTGGTGTGAAGCTTGGGTATGGTTGGGTGCCCAGCAAGGTCCACATCGCAGCAGGGGTCCAGTGAGAAGGACCTCCTGGAGTCTCCTCTGCTTCTCCGTTGCAACCTGCTTGTTACCTGCATCTTCTGTGGCCTGGACCATGGTGGTGGTGTGAAAAAGGAGGACAGGTGGCCATTGGCTCTGCTTTTCAAGCGAGGGAGTGATAGCCATGGTGAGAAAGAGGATGAGGAGCAGCAGCAGTTGGTGACCATGGTGGTGAGAAGGGAGACTAGCTGAAGGATGGTCCACGGAGCGTGACTTGCCCAGGGGGTGGATGACATTCGTGGCTCTTTTTCTTTCTCCTCTCACCCAGGGCTGCTGCAGCCAAAACATTCCACTGCTTTCCAGTGCTTAACATTCCCGAAGGCTTACAAATATTTAATCAACACTTAAGGATGGAGACATGATTTTCAGGGGCAGGGAAGACCTCAAGCTGTACCATACAGAGAGGCCTTGCCAGCCTTGCAGGAAAATGTGGATGTGACATTTCACTCCCTCTCCTTTGTAGCTCAGAGCTGAGGTTAGCCGTTCCAAATGCAAAATTCTAAAATGCCTCATTTAAATCAATGACTTGCTTCTGGTTTTATGTCATTTTATTTTCTCTTTCCTCAAAGGAGCTCAGGGCAGTATATGACATTATTCCAACCTGAGAACAAACCTGTGAATTAGGTTAATCTGCAGGTTGGAGATTAGTTCAAAGCCACCCAGTAAATTTTGTAGAAAATAATCACAACATTATAACAACAATAAATACTAAGTACCTGTAGAGCATTTTCGAGTGTACAAGGCCTGCTTGCAAATGAATACGATTCTTTTCATAATGCACATGGTGGCGGGGGTGGCAAGGGACTTAAGCCCACCTGGTAAGGTAATGGCTGTGATGGCATTCAAAGAATGGGCTTTCTGATTTGTAGCGTAGTCTCATGCAGTGCAGTCCTGCTTTCTCAGAAGTAAGCCCTGCAGTGCTCAATGGCATTTACATCTGTGTATCACTCCTGTTGCACTCATGTCTTGCTTGTAGGTTTCCCTTGGGCAGCTGGTCGGGCACTGTATGAAGAGAATGCTGGACTAGAAGCATTCATGGTTTGTTCCAGAATGGTTGTGCAAAGGACTGCTCTTTTAGTCACTTTCTAATGTCCAACCTCCATCCTTGCCATTGTTTTGGCTCTTTCTAAAACACATATCTAAGTTGAGTCTTTATAAGGAGCTTTCCCAGTTACCATATAAATGAAAATGACCATAGACCAACAGGGCCAGCTGGGAATGTTGACACTTGCTGGCTGTCCAGTTTCACCTTGAATGTCTCCAGTGTGGGAGAGTCCACCACCTCTCTGGGCAGCTGGTTCCACTGTCGTATTGCTCTGACCATGAGGAAGCTTTTCCTGAAGTCCAGCCTGAATCTGGGTTGTCACAACTGATTATTCTGTGACCTTCACTCTGGCATCAGCAAGAAGAGAGAGATCTTGACCTTCCTCTTTGTGACCACCTTTGAGGTGCTTATAGAGGGATATCATGTCCCTCTCAGTCTCCTTTTCTCAAGGCTGAACATGCCCAGTTCTCTCAGTCTCTCCTCACAGGGCAGTGTTTCCAAACCCTGGATCATTTCTATTGCCCTCCGCTGGACCCTTTCTTATTTAGTCCAGTACAAATGTTTAGTCCAAATGCTATAATGCTTCTCTGGCCATCTGTGCTATAGGAGGCACTTTATTCTAACAAACAATTCATGTCAGTGGAGGTGTGGTCTGAGGAACGGATGAGCATCCCACATCCGAAAGAGCCCTCCCTACAGGTTCCCTTGCACTTAAGCACTTTGCCAGTAGGTTGGCCGCTGGGGAGTGGGCAAGCATCACCCCTCGAGCAGCTGTATTTGTCTCAGAGGCCAGCTGCCAATTTTATTGCCTCCTTAAATTAAAATTGTGTGTGTGTGTGTTTGTTTTGCCCTAGGTTTGTTCTTATACTGCAATTGGCTGGGGAATTTTAAAGTAAAAACATGCAAGAAAATGAAGCAATTTAAATGCAGAATATCCCATTTAAACAGCATTTTCATATGGGATAAATCGTCGTCTTGTGAAATATGAAACTGCCTGTGCCTTTTCCCCTTTGGTCATGGGCACACCCACTGGGTGAAACTAGCCTGCCGAAAGCTTCTTCTCATACACCCCCTATTAATTTGCACTGCTGATTCATTGAGCAGTATTGCCGGCTCAGCTGTTTGGAGCTTTTGTAATCTTCTCCCAGTTTTCCTGGTAGCCATTTCAGGCTTTTTGTTTTTGGCTCTGTGATGTGTTGTTGCCAATGAAGAAAAGACAACAAAACAGGGAAAGAATGTTCTAGCTGTTTGACTGTAAGGGTGCAAATTTGCTCTGGTCCTATTATGATGTCATCCAAGGTGAAGAAACATGCCTGTGAAAGGTTTCAGTGGGTGCATGGCACACTATATACAACAGCAGAGTAAGCGTTGAAGCTCTTCCCGGAGTGTACCACTTTAAGTTGTAGAGATGATCTACGTGCTACCCCAAGGGGGTGGGAACCCGCCCAACACATAGAAATATTAGCATATCAGGAAGAAGGAACTAACTTGGTTCCCCCTATTTTTTTCCTTCTGTGGGCTGGTAGGTCTCTTACTTTGCTTTTGTTTTAACAATAGAATGTTTCAGAGGGAACCCCCTCCATCAGCAGCCTGGAACATTCCAGGGAAAGAATTACCAATTGATTATGCTGATTATAGAAAATGGGTTGGGCCTTGAACAATGATGGAGATGAATGAGAGCTTGAAAGAATTGACAGAATGGATGGGCACCCCATGGATTTCCTTGTCTCCTTGAACAAATGGGTAGCACTGCAGAGGGATGCAGCTTTCATGAGAGAAGCCCATTCCTCCATTTAACCAGATAGATAGAGGAATCCCTTCAAGGCGGGCAGCATCCTTTGTATATTGGAGCCCCTGTTCTGCTATGGAATCACACGTTCAGGATAGAAGACTTTGAAGTCAAAAGCTAGATTGTGTCTGAGGACTTAGCTTATTTCTCTGCGCACTCTGATTGGTGGCTTTTGAGAAAAATAGGCTACAGTTGTGTGTGAGAGTGACAACGGCGTGTGCCCTGCAACTTACCTGACAGAAGTGTTCATCTTTATTGCAGTATAGGTTTATATGAATCATGCTTCTTCACATGGGTATAAATGTTTTGCTACTGAACAAATGTAGCCCAGTTTGAACAGGCAGTCCTATGTGTGGGAGTCAAAGGTCTTTGCAGTAGAGTTGTGAAGAGTTGTTACTCTGTGCTCAGAAGTAGAGGCAAGGTGTCAGAACGGTTTGCTGGTCCCTTCTTGAGTAGGGAGTTAATATTTTTTGGTATGCATAAGATTGGAATTGGAGGGCAGGTGATGAAATAAACTTTCCCAAACTGAAATTGTTCCATTGCACGTGAATGCTGCACTTTGTAAACATATTTTCCCTGAAGTTAATTTTGATAAAATTCATGTGAAAATAACTTTAGAATTGCAGGCATAATCAATATTCTAGTTGTTAGACTACTGCATATCTGACCATAGTGAAAAGTCATACTCAATACCCCAAAAAGTAATTGGCAAAACATTAAAATGTCAGAGTAAGTATTTAAAAATATCATAAAATAGAAATATTGAAAAACTAAAAGTCTTTTAAAGGTCATTGGAGAGTTCGAAAAAGAGTGGGAAAGGGCAACTAAGGATGTGAACTTACGGTTGCAGGAGTCCCAGTCCTACCTCAGAAAAGTGCTCCAAGGTTGGAGCATTGAGGGCGCCTCTTTCCATCCACACTACCAGCATGGCGCTTTCCATGCCACCTGGCACCCCACAGTCTTAAAAGCTACTTTGGAGTCTGTGCGGGGGAGCATTGCAAGGGGGTGGGGAGGAATGGCATAGACTAAGGCTCTGTTGGGACACAAGGAACCCCTCCTGGCCAAACTCAGCTGTCTCAGTGTTTGGGAGAGTGAGGGAAATGAGGAGGCAGCCCTCACCTTGTCCCATCCTTCATTGGGAGCCCATAATCATCCAAGGTCAACTCCAGTGTCTTAGGTCAGTTTACGGACACCAGTTCCTGAGGAACTAGGTCAAGAAGGTGCTGGTGCTAGCTTTACCCTCCATGGATGTGTCCAATTGTGTTTTAAATTTGTAAAGCATTTTGTTACCTGGGGTATGGAACAACAGACTGGACTAAAAGCATTATTTGCCAGGCCCAGTAATATGTAATTATTCCTTTTTCAGTCTTGCTTTTAGTGGCGATGTTGATGGTCTTCATGCATGGTATCTTGCTGGTGTGGATTTGAACAAACCTGATTCCGATGGGAATACTCCATTTACTGTGGTAAGTATAACTCTGGAAGTAGCTAAGGTGGACCTTCTGTTGAATGTGTTTATTAAATTCAAGTTTTACTTCAAGGCACAGAACCTCAAACTTTCTGGGTCACTGGGCATACTGAAATATGGGGAGTGTTTTGCAGTTGTTCTCACAAAGTGGACATCATTGTCCAGTGGCTACCATAATGGGCAGTGCTCCTTTCTCAGAAGGAAAACTGGTGAGGCACAATTAAAAATAAGTTGCCCAGGAGGTGAAATACAAGGGAGAGTTGGGATCTGAGCTCCAAAACTGGGTTCTGTGTGCCTTTCAACCTGTTCATAAATGATCTGGAATTTGGAGTGAACAGTGGCATGGGCAACACAGCACATAGTTAAACTGTGGAGTTCACACCCCCAGGAAGCTGGGTCACTGATGTGGATGACTTTAAAATGGCATTGGACAAGTGCATGGAGGAGACAGCTATTGCTGGCTACTTGCTGGCTACTTGCCACCTCTGGTATCAGAGGCAGCACTTACCAGTCATGGGGGTGCTTTAGGAAAAGGAAGATGCGGTACTTAAACCCGGCACAAAAGATCCTGTGAGAAACCGATTTGCAACTCTGGGAACAGAATGCTGGCTAGGTGGACGCATTGGTCTGATCCAGCATTGCTTTTCTTAAAACCAAATCCCTCTTTTGAATGCGAATAAAGTTGAAGCTGGGGGAGCAGTGCTTGGCTTTGGAGCAGGCCAGCCTCCTAGTTAGAAATAGTTTGTGAAATAAAAGCAAGTCTTAAGTCAAAACAAAACAGGAGAGTCAAGGCCCCGGAGGGTGCTGAGAGAGGGGTCTCTGAATGCATCAGTACACACAAGTAGTGTGCTGGAAATCGCAAGGCTAGACACTCCAGGACCACTTAGCATAGGGAAAATGTCCTATAGGTCCCAGCTGGCTGGGAAGTGTAAGGTTTTTTCCTGTCTAAACATGCCTAAGATGTATGTGGGTGTGATCAACACAGGACCACATGGCTGCATTTCTTTAGCTGTACTGATGGGTAACTGGGCTTTGTCTATGGGGGATTATAGCTATATCATATTATTATTGATACTATTTTTTGTATTATGCATTATATTGTATTCTGTATTGCATTATTTATTATATTATTGTATTAAGGATTGTTTTGATTTTATATCACTTACAGTTAAATATTGAATTGCTCGATTGTATCACTCTAATATATTATTGTATTTTTATGGAATATGTATTTTTTCTTTCTTTCTTTGTTCTATTGTAATCTGTTCAGAGGGCCCTATGGGCTATGGGGTGGCGTACAAATGTAATAAATGAAATGAAGATTGTGCCCTTTCTGGAAAGGTGTTTCGGCAGAGCTGCACTGCTAGGGGAAAGCTTTGGCTGACCTCCTTCATGGGCAGATTATCCTGCATATGTCTGTTTCTGACATGCTTGACACGCATGAGCCATAAGCAGCTGTTTCCTGGAAGAAAAAAGAAGGGCCAGCAAGAATGAGAGTATTCGGATAGGTGATGGCCGGGATTTTGTGCAAAAGCCTGCACAACTTGAATTTTCTTTTCTTTTTTTCTGGGCTCCACTTCTAATAGTTTTAGATTAATGCCCAATTGCACAGACAGTAAAGAGTGAGCGCTGCTGTCTTGTCATGGTCTTAATGCAATTAATGCTTCTAATTGTCTGCGGGACAGTATGGTTGTTTTTATGTACCTATCTGTTTTTAAATTTGTATCCTGCCAACTCAGCTCGAAGGGCCATCTAGACAAGCATTTAAAAGTAGCATAATTTGTAATAAAATATACATAAAATCTCTGAATGGGTAGATAACAATAAATGCTAATAGAAAGCAGCAAAAATAAAACCACTCAGTTTTCTAGCCCTTAAAAAGAGGTATTGATTTCAAGTGATTCCTCTTAAAAACAAATTATCTGTCTTCAGACTGTCCTTGACTCTCTGAAGGAAAAAAAATCACCACCACCCAGGATTATAGTCTTGAATGTGGTAGAATACAAAACTTTTTGCATCTTTCCTAAAGCTTCCAGTGGGCCAAGCCTGGTGAAGCTTTCTTGGGATGTTTCATAATGGGGGTACTACCACAAAAAAGACCCCGTAGTAAATACCGTTCTGTCCTCAAGTGTTCAAAGGATCTGAAGAAGAATATTGACACATATGGGCTGTGCGTAAGGAAACAGTATGATTTGGTGTGTGCCTATGTATGTCTTGTGTGTATGTTGAATGTGTGCAGGTATATATGTGATCTACCTACACTTTACACAATGGTGCTTACTACTATTGAAATATCTTCTTGTAGGCCAAGATTGCAGGGCATGTAAAAGCTGTGGAATATTTGAGGAAGTACATACAATAATTTGGTAAGCTTTTTTATGGGCATTTGCTGGTGTGTGTGTATTATGTGGAATAGTTGACTTAGTAAACAGAGTCAGGGTTCTTCGTGTCGGTTCACAGTTTTCCTGCTAGTTTCCACAGTAGCCTTCAGCAGATACTTAGCGATGTTATCATCAAAGTACTGTGTGAAGACATCCTGGAAGTTGGCCGTCTACTGAATCAGCCTCTTCACCCATCTAGCTCAGCATGGGCTCCCTCCAGGGTTCCAGGCTGGAGCTGTACCTAGTCCTTCCTGGAGAAGGTGAGGGCTGAACTTGGGAACTTCTGCATGCAGATCATGTACTCTGCCAATGAAGTACAGCCTCTTCTTTGGAGCGTGAGTTGAGGAGAAGCCAGGAAACCTTACTAACACAATGTTTAGAGCTCTGAAGCCTATTTGAAATAATGCGGAGGAAGACAGACATAGTATATTGTTGTTGTTGTTATTATAACATTTCTATGCTGCCCCTTGCCGAAGCCTCGGGGCGGCTTACAACACAATAAGATACATTGAAATACAATAGAATATAATAAATTACCACTAAATACAAAAATACAAAAAATATACTGAGATACAATAATATAAAATTAAAATTAACAGTATAAAATAAGTAAATAAAGAATATAGGAGGAGAAAAGAGAAGGAAGAAGAAGTTGCCCTGGCCAGATCATATATTTTAACAATTAAAATGATGTTTAAATAAAAAGGTCTTTACCTGGCGCCGAAAAACCAGTAACGACGGTGCCAGGCGGACCTCTTTGGGGAGTGAATTCCATAGGTTGGGTACCACCGCAGAGAAAGCCCTCCTCCGAGTACTTACTCTCCTAATTTCTTTCATGGAGGGTTCCCGGAGAAGGGACTCTCCCGCAGATCTCAAGGGGCGGTCGGGCATATACAGACGTAAGCGCTCGTTCAGGTAGCCAGGACCCAAGCCGTTTAGGGCTTTATAGGTCATAACCAACACCTTGAATTGGGCCCAGGCTTCAATGGGAAGCCAGTGAAGCTGACGGAGGACTGGAGTCATGTGAGCATAACGCCCCGTCCCCGTCAGCAACCTGGCAGCTCTATTTTGCACCAATTGAAGTGTTCGGAGCTGTGATATTTAGCTGATGTGTAAGTCCAGCTTCATGTTTTGAATTACAGGTGTGCATGTGAACATATCAAATCCAGGCTAATTGGTCAATTTTGCCCTTTCCCTGTGCTTTAGGTTGCCTTTTTATTTCTCAAAGTTCAGCATGAGCAGTTCCTGTATTTCTCTACATGTTCATTGTCTAAATGGACCTCATAAAATGGACTCTATCTAGTCCATGAGATTTAGGTCATCTTAATTCTATTTGGTGCCCCCAAACTCTGTTATTTTGTCTGCAATAAACCAACACAGCTGTCCCTTTGAAATTAGCTAAGAAACACCATTTTAAGGGGACAGTCCTTTGCCTGTGTTGACAGGTAAAAGTCCTATGATCTCAAGCATGCACCAGCTAGCGTGCTGCAAATTGTGGGAATGTTCTCCATCTAAAGATGCACAGGAATGCACCTCGCCTTCCTGTAACCCTCTGAACGCACACTGTATGCCTCCCATTATATCAAAAGCATTGTAAGGTCCTCAGTTCGTTGCAATGTAGGAGATAGGCATTTTCCCTTCCAGTGGTGCGATAGCAGATCTTCAGCTGTCAAAGGAGTGCGGAGAATCTGTTTCCCCTTCTGTTTGTCAGTTTCCATGCAGCATGTCAATAATTTAAGAGTGCCGTTAGTACATTTAAAAAAAACCTGTTCCACTGTAAAATTTATCTATGCCATAACCTCCTCCCGAAAAGAAGCAACTAATGGACATTGTCAAAATGTTTGCTTAAAAGAAGCATTAGATGCATTGCACTGCCAGCAATTCACTGAATTCATTCATTCATTCATTCAATTTTTATCCCACCTGTTTTCCTGCAAGGAACCCAAAGTCACTTTCATAATCCAACTCCTCTCCCTATTTATCCTCACTACAACCTTGTGAGGTAGGTTAGGCTGCAAGTCACTGCCACGCTCAGAGACTTGGTGTCATGGCTGAGACCTCCTGAGTCCCAGTCCAACAGTCGAATCACTTTGTCACAGCGGCACTCACAATGCTCTTTAATAAGGGCTATCATTACATACTCGTTGCAGTGCCCAACAGACACAAAACAAATGATTTTGCTAAAGAAGCTGCAGCTGAAGAACCGCAGCTGTGACAGGTGTGTTGCGACGCCGTGATTTGGCACTTAGTGGAGATGCTTACAGTAGCTTTCGACTCCCGAATGGGCCCATGGGTCCAAAGAGGATGGAGACCAGACTGTGGTTCTGTATTGATATGTCTGCATTCTAAGAACTGTCTCCTGCAGCACAGTTTCCATCATGCAGATTTCAGGATGGTCTTCTGCTCCCAGCCCACTGAGCTGAGATCAATAACTGTGATGCTTTGAAAGCATGTGGACCCTAACCAGTAAGCCTGAACAGTCAATCCAGGTTCCATATTAAGCAGGTAGAGGGTTAATATTCAGTAGGCTAGTCCTGAGTGGAAAGGAGGCAACTATTTTCACTTCACAGGCATTTGGCTGTAGGTTTTTTGGATGCTCAGCTATCAGGTCAGAAAACAGCTCTGGCCTCACAGCCGGAGATCTGCACCTGGAACGCTGCATACTTTGCAGCCAGTGTAGAAGGAGCCACACCAGTTGGTTCTCTGAAGTCACAAGACCAGCCCTTGGAGAAAGGTTTTGTGGGCTGTTCTGGGTGGCGGGAGCAGAACAGACAGGTACCAAAATACCAGGTAATGTGGCAGCGCCTCCACCTGCTTCCCACCCGCTCCAAAGCGCTGCATGTAGATGGCTGAAATCAGCTATTTCACTATTTTGCAGAGCGTGAGAGCAAGCTTTGCTTCCTCATTGCTCTGACCCTGCATAATTCCCCGTAATTCTTCCAGTTCGGAGAGGTATGGGCAATCCGATTGGATTTCAACCCTTAAGGACACAGATCAGGAAGTGGGAGGTAAGCTTTTGATTTATGGATCTTGTCTCATTTTGATAAGCTAAGACTTCTAATATAAGAATAAATAAAATAAAATCTAGAAGAATTGGAAAAAGAACAAAGGCCAGGATTTTAGATTACCTTGACAAGAGTCATAAATGGGACTGTGGTAGGATACTTTCAAAGCTGTTTTTGGAAAGAGATGTTAATTTGAAGCACTGCTCAGGCAGTGAACTATATTTAATACATATTTTCTTGATTTTCTTTAGACACATGACATTCCTCTCAGGTTGTGAAATTCAGCTATCTGAATCCAAGAAATGCCTGAGAAGCACTGAAGAAAATGGGCAAATGCTTACTGTTTTTAGCAATACTGTAGTCAAGAGATGGCTATTCTTAGGCTTGATTTTTAAAAACCCAGTTTTTAACCCAGTTATGAAAGGAATTTTTTTATTGTTGACATGTAAGGGTGCAACATGCAAAACTCTTGCTTCCACACCAATCCATTGAACTGAATGGCATTTTCTGGAAGGAATGTGTGCTGATGGAACCAAACGGTTGTCCTTAAACCTTTATTACATTGATTCACGATCCTTGATTGATGGAGACTGGACTTGAGAATTTTTGAGAGCAAAGCAGTGTCCTTTACATTGACCTGAAGCCCTTTACGGTAGTTCAGGATCAATGCCGTTTAACAGAAACATAGAAAATGGAAATTAAGTTGTGCTTTTCAGCACATTTGCTTTAAGGAATGAAATGCACAGGCACTTCAGTAAGAGAAACCATGCTGGATCAGAGCACAGGGCTATCTTGTTCAGCGTTGTCATCCAACCAGCTGCCCACAGAACCCACAAGCAGGACATGAGCTCACAACGCCCTTCCGCCCAACTTCCCTGGCAACTGGTGCACAGAGACCTATTGCTTCTGATGGACGTATCACAGAGCCATGCCGACTAATAGTCATTGATAGCCTTCTTCTCCATGAATTTGCCCAAGCTTCTTTAAAGCCATCCAGATCGATGGACATCGCAAATTGGTGGCCAACATCTGAGGATTTTGATTAGCTTATTATTATAGCAGAAATCTAATAGTAGAATTTCACCAAATTACTTCCTCTGAGAGTGAGCAGATGCTGAATGTGAGTAGAACTGGAGTCTCAAATTGGGAACATTAAGAAATAAGGGGGGAGTTATCAGTATATTTGGAGAAAGCCCAAAAGTCCTGACTCATGCACAGAAAGAAAATCCAGCCTAAAGAGGACTGGGAGCATTTTTGGTTGCAATGCAATATTGCATGGAAGACAGAAAAGAAAACAAAAACGGGAGAGTGTTGGAAGAGGGTTGACTGGCTGGAACCTTGAGCAGAAGCACTCCTGCTAGCCAGTGTGGCTACGTGGCAACCTCTCGCAGGTCCCACTTGTTTCATCAAAAGCAAAACTCACGATGAACTTGAAGGGCTCTGCTTGTGGATGCAGGGAAATCTTGGTCATTTCAGAGAAGTTCAGAGAAGGCCAGCAAGATTTGCCAAATTGATGTGAGAGAGTCTTTTGCCTAAATTAGATCTGTGCCAAATGTAGAGGATCCTGTTCAGCGAGCACAAACATTGTGAAAGCGTGTTAACTATTTTTGCATCAGCTTTGTGGTGTTCCTCAGTGGAACTCTGTGCATCTTTGCGGGTAACATCACAAATATGTTCTTGCTTGCAAATTAATCACGGTGCACTTACGTGGCAACTTCTTGGGAATAGTGATGCTTTATTTTGGGAAATGCTGTTGATCTTCTCACCTTGTCTATTGGTCATGATTGTTTTGTTATGCTTTTCAATAAAATATTTGAAAAATAGTAAGTCAGCATGAAGTGTGTGTGGGAGGAGTGATGGTCCATCAGTCTGAACAATGTCCTATATTAAATAGGGCATCCTAGAGGTCCAATGTGAGAGGTGAGAGGTGGTGTTGGTGGGATATGCATGCAATACATTAATTTACCCAGTTCAGCCATGCCAAATATCTCTCTGAAATGCTCCTATTTCTGGCCAAGCCACTGGCTTTCTACATTCCAAGTGGTTATACTTGCAAGGAATTAAATGGGCCTAGTTAGGAATGCCAAAGCCACAAATCCTTTTGCTTAAAAAGGCTGATTGGCCCGTGATGCTAACATTGCTGTAGCTATTATGAGGTATAAAGAAGAAAACAACCACAACAAATGCTTTTAAGATACCTTTGCTTTGCTTTTTGCAATATAATCCTGAATATATATGAAGGCAAGTTTTTCAGCCTCACTGAGAGTTTTGTCCCCAACCCAGGAAATCTTCTCTCACGCACTGCCACAAGCTCCTTGAGAGCTGAAGTGATGATCTTAGAAGGCTGGCAAGTGAAACTAGTAAAGTGACTCTGTGCTTCCCTTAAGAGTCCCCTGGCAATGTAGCCATAGGCAAAGATTACATAATCGGATCTTTCTTTTATATGGCTTATTCAAAGGCTTGACTCTATCCTGGGCCAATTAGAGTTGAACTCTGGAAAAGCATGTTTGACGTCCAAAACATACAAGCGGGCCAGGATGTGAGCTGGGTATGCTGGCTATTCATCCCAAACTTGATTTACCACTTTTTCAACATCCATGATATGCCTAGCCCTAGTCGAAAGAGTAAATTAAAGGCAAGCAGCTTGGCATAGCTTTATGCCATGGATTAAACTAATAACATCCTAAACTGCTGCAAATGAACATTGCAAGGAAGCCAAGCAAGAAGGACTCTTTAAGGAGCCCATTTAATCCGGTTTCAGTTTTGACAGCTTATGAATGGATATACAGACTCTATGCCTGTTGCCGCAATTAAAGGACATGCACACAATTGTGCTTGCATAAGAACTAAGCTTTGTCCCCATTGGTTAGTTTGTTAAGATTTTGCTGCTTCTTGTGTTTCACTCATGTGGGCAATTGACTGCTGATAAAGGATCATGACTCCAATATCAGTGGGACAGTATATCCAAAGGACATAGGAGCTATCTCAGTTTGGTTCTCGACCATTATTCAGTGTTGTGTATGTACAGAAGGCCAAAGTTCAGCCCTTGCTGTCTCCAGTTTAAAGCATTCAGGTAACAGGTATCTCTCTCCTACCTATGACCTTGGGGAGCTGCCATCATTTCTCCTTTGTTTTTTGTTTTGTTTTGTTTTGTTTTTTTTATAACAAGTTTTATTCAAAATAACCCTAAAACAAAGGAAAACTAAAAACAACATCAATCATCAGAAACATCGGACCTGCTGGGTCAGCCCCCACATTTTTTTCTATTTATGATAACTTAAAAACATATTTAAATCTATACGAAGTCCCATTTCTCTAGCCAATAATAAAAAGAGTTCCAAGTTTGATAGAAATCAGTATCTTCTTTCTCCTTCAATGACAAAGTCAATCTGTCCATTTCAGCACAGTCCAAGATCTTTTTTAGGATCAGTTCATCGGTGGGTGGTTCTTCACTTTTCCAGTGTTGAGCAAATGCAATCCTCGCTGCAGTAATTACATGTAAAATCAAGTACATTTCTTGTTTACTAATATCAACAGGTATAATGCCTAATAAGAAAACTTCAGGTTTAAAAGCTAAGGATTTTTGTAACATTTCCTCAAGCCATTTATGTATTTTAATCCAATACTTTTTCGCATTATCGCAAGTACACCATATATGATAGAAAGTACCCAATTTATGTTTACATTTCCAACATCCATTTGACATATTTGGAAACATCTTAGCTAATCTATTTGGCGACAGATACCATCTATAAAACATGTTATACAGGTTTTCTTTATTTGAAGTTGTTAATGTTACCTTAATATTTCTCTCCCACAGCTTTTGCCATTTTTCTAATTCAATATTATATCCAAAGTTTTGTGCCCACGTCATTTCTCCTTTGATTACACTCCCTTGTTGCCCAATAGTCAAATCTTTCTGGTGGTTCACAAAGACTGAAAACCTTAAAAATGCATTAGAAGATCATATAAGCATGCAACACACAGAGTGACACACATATAATCTATCTGAAAAGAAAATTAAAGACCTGATTAGCTTCATTCCATGCTGTCAAAGCCTGAGAGAAGGACTAAATCTGGCACTGAAAAGATAACAATGCTGGTGTTAGGAATCTGGAAGATCACACCATAGTAATGATGGGGGACACCACCAAGTAGGCCCTCTCGTAGTCACTTTTCAAGCCTCTCTCAGAGCCTGGGAAGGGAAGGTCCTTAAATGATGAACGCAGTGTCTGGGTAGGTTCATGCTGATCAAAGGAGGGAATCCTGGATTATATGAACAAACTGGCCGGGTTTAAGACCATTTCCCATGTCTTTGCTGTTTGCTTGCTTCTCAGCCACGGAGGCCTCTTCCTAGCTATCATGTGCCTTTTTGGCATTGCTGCTGGGTAATGTTAGGCTGCAGGGTTAAGGTTCATTTGGGGAGTCCCTCTTTGGGTGATTAATTTTATTTATTGTATTCCTGTACTCTCCAATAGCTGAAGCTCTCTGGGCAGTTCACAACATTTCCCTGAAGTACAATAACAAGAGATACAAGAAAAATATGGATACAAGCTAACATAGTAGAAAATTCCAGTACACAATGATCTAAAATTCCAAAATACATCATTTACAACAGTTTAAGCATTTAAAACAATTGCGATAAAAACAGGGCTGGCAATATGTATTACTCCACCTACCTCAAGGTACACCAAGCCAACATTTGGGGGCCCTCCTGCTCATTCGACTGACTGGAGCATCTGTGCCAGAGTCCTGCCTGGAAGGGCATCACTCTGTCTCCCGGCCCCTGTGCTTCATGAGCCTTGGGTACTGCCTTCTCCTGGTAGTGCCAACCCTGTGCCAACAAGTGCGTGCAAATGTCGGGATTCCTGAGTGGGATGGAGAGAAGGCTCTGCTCCTCTTGGACCTCTTCACTGGGATGTGCATGTATGTTTATCCGTGTGCACAGGCATGGCTGCTGGGGCCAAAGTGGCTGCACATTCCTGATCTATAGGCTGCTATAATATATATGCACCAGCCTGGGAGTAAGTCCCAAAGACTGGGACTTGTAGCTCTGTAGACCTGCATGGCGTTGCCCTCTGTCGTGCATCCAACACCTGTGCAGAATGCAAATAATAAGGATAGCAGGACGCACATTAGCACCAACGTTCTAAGTGCACACACTAAATGTGGATTGTATCTTGGTCTTGTCTGCCAAGCCAAGCCCTCCCTGATGGAGAGTAGGAGGGTGTCTTCCAGCAGAAGGGCCTTCTCTGCGGTGGTGCCAATTGTGGAATGCGCTCCCCAGAGCAGTTCGCCTGGCGCCATCACTTTATCCTTTTCAGCACCGGGCTAAAACCCTTTTATTCCCCCAATGTTTTAAGATTTGATTGTTTTAATTGGGGTTTTATTGTTGGTTGGAAATTTTATTAGGACACTGTGTTATTTTATTTTATTTTAAATTGTGTTATTGTTACCTCTGTTCCAGGTATTTGCTGGTGACTCTGCAGAAAGGATTCCTTCATTTCCATTATCCATATGTGTCTTGATCAAATGATATGGCCTGAGGGGGGATTACCCCTGCCCAATCTTCCCTGCCTCTTGTTCCCTAGCAGCTCCAAGTCTGTCACTGATGGTCTGTGGCTGCTGTCCCTTGGGCAGGCTGAAGACCAGTCAAAGTATGAAAATTGTTGTAAGCTAACCTGAGCCACTAGATAGGGTGAGTTATACATCCAGATCATGAAGGAGTGGACATTACTGCCAGGTTTTGCAGTACAGAAGTCAAATGAACAGAAGTCAGCAAAACAAGGCAGCATTTTCTAAAAGCAGGGGCATTTTAAACCTGCTGTGATGGATGCTGAGCTGATGACATTAAGAGTGCTTGGAGTGGTGAAAATCTTTGTTAAGGCTGTCAGCTTAAGAACAGGAGAAGCTAGTCCAGCCAAACTGACAGCCGTGGGAAGCCCTCAGTATACTGCCTTTGATATGGAAGATAATATACTTAGTCACCAGCCTAGCAGCCACTGAGACCCCATCATCGGCTTGTCTTCTAAAGCCATCTAAATTGGTGGGACTTGGTCTCTGCCATGGCTGGGCACCTGCGTAGCATCTGCATCGCAGCAGGGAGACACAGAAAGAGCCTTATGGAGTTATCCGTCTGGTCCAGAGACTAGTGATCTTATGGTTGTGAATTCCACAGTTTCAGTGTGCAGAATTCTACTTATTCATTTGTTTTATTTATTTTCTTTGCTTTCTGGGTGATTTGAATGAATTAAAGCAAATGCAAAAGATACAATATCCAAATGCAATACATGCAGTATAAAATTCCACTATGCAAGTTTAAAACAGCTAAAAAACCCGATATACAAAACTATAAAATATTTTAACATCTAAAACATTTAAATTAAAAACTAGACTGAACGAAACAGCAGATATAACCCACCATATGTCATTAACTACCATTAAATACCTGGGAATAGAGGGCAGATCTAACCTGACATTGAAAATATGACAATGTTTGGAACAGGTGGGCCTAAGTGGGGAAACATTTCCACAACTGTCGGGGGGACACCACTGAAAAGTCCTTTCTCCTTGTTGCTTCTTTCTGGGCCTTGCTTGGAGGTGGCAGCTTGAGGAAGGTCCCAGATGCAGGTGGATCGGGTTCCTAATCTCCCACCATTCAATTTCATGGGGAAAGGCTGAGTGCTAAATGGCCATCATACTGTGCATCATCTTAGAGACCTGGATTATGCTTTCCCTTAACTGCCTTTTTCTTTAGGCTAAAAAGACCCAAATGTTGTAACCTTTCCTCAGAGGGGATTTGCTTTTGCCTAATGATTATCTG